ATCATTCAAGATTTCCAGCGGATGGTCTTCACTCAATTTCAAACTGAAATCCAAATTTTCTAATCAGACAATGCAAAAGAATTTTTTCATAGTGATCTCACAAAATTTTTTGTTTCGCATGGTTCCCTTCACTGTAGCTCTTGTGCCCGCACATTACAACAAAATGGTGTGGCCGAACGGAAGAACCGACATCTCCTTGAAGTGGCTCGAGGTTTACTACTTCATATGAATGTTCCYAAAYGGTTTTGGCTTGAAGCTGTTCTTTGTTCCACTTACCTTATAAACCGTATGCCCTCTCGTCGGTTAGAGTACAAAGCCCCACATCAACTTCTCTTTCCTAAGGCTCCCCTTCTTTCTGTTCCTCCTCGTGTCTTTGGTTGCCGGTGTTTTGTCCAAAATCTGTCTCCCACCCATGGGAAATTGGATTATCGTGCTATCCCTTGCATATTTCTTGGTTACTCATTCACTCAAAAGGAATACCGTTGTTTTGATCCTGTTTCTCGTAAATTCTATGTCTCCATGGATGTTTCTTTCTTTGAAGATGAGCCTTTTTATTCTGTTTCTCCTCAGGGGGAGTGTAGGCATGAGGAGAAACTGGTTCAGCTTCCCTCTCTCCTTGACCCTCTACCTTTTCGTGTTTTTTCTCGTCGTCGCAAAGGCCAACCAAATTCAAGAGCTGTAGAGAATCCGGAAGCTGTACCTCCAGTGCCACCGAACTCCTCGGGGGAGGATCATACTCACTCAGGTATTTTGGCTCCCAATGATGTCCTTGAATCTATTGAAAATGATTCCTCTACTGCTAATGATCTTGACCGTCCTATTGCTCACAGGAAGGGTGTTAGRTTGTGCACCACTAAACATCCCATTTCCAACTTTGTCTCCTATGAGAACATTTCATCCTCATTCCGTGCCTTCCTTACCTCTATTGACAGTATCCCTATCCCTAAGAATGTGGCAGAAGCTCTTTCAGTTCTTCAATGGACAAATGCCATGAGGGAAAAAATTAATGCCCTTTACAAAAATGGCACATGAGAACTTGTTGATCTTCCTAAGGGAAAGGTTCCAGTTGGATGTAAATGGGTGTTCATAGTCAAGCATAAGGTTGATAGAACAGTGGAAATGTATAAAGCTCGCTTAGTGGCAAAGGGATTTACTCAAGTGTATGGAGTTGATTATGCAGAAACTTTTGCCCCCGTTGCCAAGATGAATTCCATTAGAGTCATTTTCTCTCTTGCGGCTAATCTGAATTGGGTTTTACACCAACTGAACATCAAGAATGCATTCTTGAATGGTGACCTTGAAGAGGAAGTGTACATGAATTCAACCTCCTGGTTTCTAGCCCAAGACAATGAACAGAAAGTGTGCAAGTTGAAGAARTCCTTATACGGGCTGAAACAATCACCAAGAGCTTGGTTTAGCAGATTCCATGTGGCAGTTCAGCAGAAAAGATACAGGCAATGTCAATCAGATCACACACTATTTGTGAAAAAAGGAAAAGGTAAAATTGATGCTCTAATTGTATATGTGGATGACATAATTGTTACTGGTGATTGGGAGGATAAAATTCAAAAATTGAAACTTTTTCTTGCCACTCAGTTTGAAGTGAAGGATCTAGGACCTGCTAGATTCTTCATTGGAATTGAAGTTGCCCGATCAAAGAAGGGTATATTCATTTCTCAGAGGAAATACGTCCTAGATTTAGTTCAGGACACTAGAAAGATGGGGGTGAAGCCAGTTGACTCTCCCATTGACCCCAACCATAAATTAGGTGACAGCTGTGGTGAATCGCTCAAGGATATGAAACAGTTTCAGAGACTTGTAGGGAGATTGTTATAACTTTCTATGACTCGCCCAGACATTGCATATGTTGTTGGTGTCCTCAGCCAGTTCATGCATGCTCCTAGGTCTTCTCATCTTGAAGCAGCAGAGAGAATCCTCCGATATCTAAAGAAGTATCCAGGTATTGGTTTGTTGTTTCAAAAGCACGGACATTTGAAAGTTGAAGTTTATACAGATGCAGATTGGGTTGGATCCCAAAGTGACAGAAAGTCTACCAATGGCTACTGCACCTTTATAGGAGGGAACCTTATTACATGGAGGAGTAAAAAGCAAAATGTGGTAACTAGATCCAGTGCTATAGCCCACGGGGTTGCTGAAGGCATGTGGATAAAGAATTTGTTGGGGGAATTGGGTTTCCCAGTAACCAAACCTATAACTCTATTTTGTGATAACAAAACAGCTATAAGCATTACTGCCAATCCGGTGCTACATGATAGAACAAAGCACATCGAAGTTGACAAACATTTTATCAGAGAGAAAGTTATCACAGGCGAAGTGTGTACCCCCTATGTCACTTCTGAGAACCAGCTTGCAGACATCTTTACAAAGAGTTTAAACATTTCCAGACATCATGATCTTTGTGACAAGTTGGGCATGATTGATATCTATGCTCCAACTTGAGGGGGAGTGTTGTCAGTTGTTTATGTATTCAAATTTAGTACCATAAGGGTACTGTTGTAATTTCTCCTCTGTTCATATTGTTCGACTGTACTAATATAAATAATAAAATCATTCTTTCACCCCCTAAGTTCTGGAGGGCTTTCAGTCACTCAACTCATCTCTTTTCTCTCTTCTCTCCTCTCTTAACTTTCTCTTGCTCAACAAGGTTTAACATATAAAAATAGAAGAGGGATTTAAGCACCTGAAAAAAATGTAAACAACATGGACATGAGCTATTGGCATTTGTTCTGTCATAGTTGCTTCATCAGTCATTTGCAAAAAATTCAGTTTCATCCGTTGTGTTGGTGTGGCAAGGTTATCCTCCTGCTGCAACAAAATTGTCAAAACACCTTGATGGGAAGTATATGACAATACTTGTCACTGTTGTCTATCTTGCTATCAAAGGATCCTTCTACAAATACTTTGTAATTGGTACGAAAATGAATTAACAATTTTAATCTGTAGTATTTTAATTCTAGCCTAGTCTTGTTAAGATTATTGAAAAGAAATGAGTTTATCCATTATATGCCAGCGATTTCATTTCAATTCCATGCCTTCCTTGCACTCCCAATCATACAATTAGATATTCTAGAAACTAAATAATCAATTCCAAACAATGGGGAGAGAAAACTGATTAAGACAAAGAAGCATATGAGGGGTCATTCATTTAAAATTCATCTTCCAAATCCAAGAAAGACAGGTTAACAGAAAGGAGAAAAAAAACTAATTATTTTACTGGCGAGAATAAGATAAAATTCATAAATGCTTATTGACAATCATCTCCATGATTTTACTACTTCCATGGGCAACAAGATTTTACTCTGTCTCATTTTTCTGTAATAAAAAAAAAAGACATCATACATAATTAATTATAATATGATTAAGAAAGATAGAAATATACTAAAAACTCCACTATATAATATAAAATTCAAATTAATATGGCAAAGAACTAGTATTGTAATGAAACATGGTTTAAAATGCCAACAATAAAAGCAAAACCACCATTAGAAAAGATGATAATAGATCAATAAAAAATGAAAAGGGTTCATAGACTTTCTTTGTCCACCACCCATGCTCTACTCTCCATACACACGTCTTTTCTTAATTAATCTGAAGTTGGAAAACTCTACACAAAATGGAATAAGAGAAAATACACATACAATAGAAGGGCGACCACTACAACAAAATTGGTAACAACAATAAAAAGTTGTTACCAAAAGATCCAAGGGACATAGAACCATACACATGTCTTATTACATTGCCTTCTCCTCTTTGCATCTAAGTTGTCTTTCCAAGAATAGTTCAAGTGAAAGCTCAAAAGGACATCGAACCATCACAGTTTATAAATCTAATTCATCAAATTGATTTCCAAAGCACATACTTCAATCCTAGTTGCTAATGTAATTATTTCTCTTGAGTTAGGAGCTACAGACACATGGATTTTGCAAGCCTGACTTAAGTGACAATGAGAAAATTTGATCTTTTGTATTTCTTAACAATTTTGCATGAAATGATAAAAGCAGAAAATTTGTAAAGTAAGTTTTAAGTTGCAATCAAGCACTGAAGCAACTCCTAAAACCCTGGGCCTTCCTTCCATGCTTCAATAGTCACACTCCCAAAACCAAGCTAACAAATTCTAGATTTTTATAATGGACGAACACTTCGTTAACAAAGCAAAAATTAATGCAATAAAGGATCTATTAATCATACATCTAAGCATGCAAACTCAAGAAGCTTGAGCCCCATTGAGGAGGTATTTAAAGGAAACTTGAAGAATAAGATGGGGCAAAAAACATAATAACAACAAAAATAAAATTTCTCATGTAACAAAGTTTCTTATTTTTTTCATTAACAATAGATTGACCAATCATGATAAAGATATTTTACACAATAAGGATTGCAAAAAATAAACCAGAAATGCTTCAAAAGGGAGCCTAAATTAAAATTCTGGAAGAACCAAACCAACTAAAATACAATCAAATAAGAATACCTTGTGAAAGGTGAATGCCCTGTCGATTTGCTTCCAACTATATTTTGCGAGACAACAACTTCCCTTTGATACTCGTTATAAGTAACAACTTCAAATGCACTGTTCTACAGATCTTTATTGCTAAATGGCCTAGAAATTTTATAGAACAAAAAAAGGGAAAGATAAAACTAACAAAATATTTTATTTGCTAAGACAGTGATCAACAATTAATCAACACGTCATGTACAAAAACTCTTTCAACAAATTATCTACCATATCTCAAGTTTAATTAGCCCTTTAAGACATTAAACAAAACCCATTTTATTTCAATGGAATGGAAGTGATTGATGTTCTCTATTATACAGGTTTACCAGAAAATTACCTAAAAATGCAGAGCGTCAGAACCTGTAGCAAGCAAGATTTCCAAATGGCACGGCCTAAGTTCATTTGAAACTGGGCAATACCCTGCAAGCATCACCTTATTAGCCGAAGCTGCAGCTGTCACAAATTCAAACACTATTACTTCACATGGTTGAGGAACTTCCGTGGCTTTGTTCATGCCCAATGTTTCTTGACTTCTCAGCCGACTTTTTAGGTTTTGGATCTGCTTTATCTCGGGAGCCTCTTTGCCCTTCCACCAAGAGAGAAGGCCCATGACTCCTAAAATGAACAAAATACAATCAGATGAAAACCCTTAAAATTACAACTTTGAAATGATTTATGCTCAAAGTGAATATAAAGCAAACAAATAATAAGCATTAGAAAACCATAACCCTAGGGAATGAAATCTTAGTACCTTCAATGAAAGAAGATCTAAACATTTACACCTTTCTCTTTGTAGTGATGACCAGATGTCTTCACAAGCAAGAATATGAAAACCCCCATAAGCTTCGAACTCCGTTTATGGGAAAAATGGGAAAGAAAAGGAAAAGCCAGAGAAGGGAGGAAGAAAAGAAGAGACAACAGGTTGTTTGGTACGAGGAAGGAGAAGAATCACTCAGAGAAGATTTTAGTGCCTTACTTTCTTTTGGGTGACAAAGCTAAAATAGCGACTATTTTTTTGTCGGCTAGATATAAGGGGTGAAAAATATGGAGAAGTAAGGCATAGACATTTCAACCGCCGACATAGACATGAGCTGGCGGTTCAATGGCCGCCATCCTAGGTCATGGACACCGGCTTAGAAGACAAAGACCGCCGTCCTAGGGACCCGGTCCAACCATTCTTTTTTCGGCAGTGTTTAGAGAACCGCCGGCTTATATAGTGGATGGCAGCAACTCAAACTGCCGTTAATGGATGCCTTGACCGCCGGTTTAGTTATTGAGCCAGCGCCCTTGACCGCCAGCCTATATTCACTTGTCATTTCCATAAACCGCTGCCTTAGTTAAAATTTGTAATCAAATCTGGCTTTTTTAACCGCCGGCTTAGACTTGGTTGTCATGTAAATAAACCGCCACCATAAATGTTGTATTTCATCAAAGGTGGCGGTTCGGACTGCCGGCGTAGACATTGTATAAACTGCTGGTTTAAGTATAGTGATTTACCAAAGGTGGTAATTTGCATGACTGTCGGCGTAGGTTTAATTTTTTTTTTTTAAATTAAGAATGTCAGTTTAAACCTGCTGAAGCCTAAAGCATAATTATGAAACTGAAACCTGAAACCAGAATTCAATAGAATCCATTTTGATAATCTAATTTGCACTTATACTCAAGTTCTAGTAAGCTGATAAGCACTTAAACAAAACATAAATTAATCTACTAAAATTAGTTCATGTAAAAAGTCAACAAAGCAGGGCAACAAGAAGAAACCCCCAAAGGCCTAAACAAATTATAACCATGACCACATCCCCAACCCTACTTAATATTGATACTTAAAAAAAAAAAGACACTAAAATAATAATTGTAAAAAAAGAAAACAGAAAATAAACACCCCAAAACTTTCCTTCCCCACTCTCACTCATCTAAACGACCCAGAGATAGTTTACATGTGCTCTTGTCTGCAATCTAACACCTATTGCTTAGGCCTGTCAATTGGAATGGATTTGGTCCAATCCGGTCTAGTCCAACATTGGTCCATTTACAAATGGACTAGACCATTAAGCTCCTCATTCTGTCAACTTGCAGCTAATGCTTCAAGCTCTTCTATACAAAGCCTCCCTGCATTAAGTTCCTCATCCTTCTCAGAGTTTATTTGCTGTCTCAAGCCCAGACCAATGCATTAAAAAGGAAAACCAGAACCCCTAGATTTTGCAGCATTCTTCTCTGGTTTACTCGATGACAAATTTGCAACATGGGAGGATGTCCGCTCAGGTTTGACTTGTTCAGCCATGGCTTCCAATGCTTTGAACTGGTTTCATGTCTCAAAGTCAGTTGAGCTGCAGATGGTAAAAGGAGGACAAGGAGGCAGCAAATTCTACGATGTCACCTAACAACTAAGGCAGTAATGAGCAAATTGTATGATGTCATCTAACAACTAAGGGAGTAAAATAAGACAATATTGTAACATTTAAAAACTTATTATTGTGAATTGATGGGCTACCTTCTGCTTATACTAACGTGCCTGTGCCTCTGCTTGCAAATTCAACTCTGAAATATGTGCTATGCACTGTGAAATCTGTATAAATGGTAAACTTGTCAATTCCAGTATGCTATTAGAATACTTTTCACCATCTTGTGCACAAATTTAGGAACTTCTAATGAAACATACGAAAGATGAACCTCTGCCTCCTTCTCAGCAACATTCTTCTCAAGAATCTTTATTTGTTTTTGGGCTTCTTGCATGTCAATCTCTTTTTCTTCTAGCTTCCTGTTGAAAGCAAGAATAGATAATGGTGTCAAAGTGAACAGTTCAGTACGACTCTGACATGCATTTGATTATAATTGCTCCTAACCTTAGGAGATCAACATTTGAAACATTTTGAGTATCTGAACTCATCATAATGCTAGAATTATGTACTGTAAGCATCTGATGCCTCAAAGATTGAAGCTCCATTTCTAGATCTTCCGTCTGCAACCGTTGCTTTTCAGCCTCCCCTTTGACAATGTCAACCTAGAAAAGCGCAATACCAATGTAAAAAGGTAAACAAGAACAAAGATCTACACCTAAAATAGAAATGAAGTTCAAAGTTCACCTTGTTTTCCAATACATTCACAGTACATTCCAACTCTTCAACAGACCTCTCTAACAGCTTCACCTCCTCTTCCTTTTCTTTGGCATAAATTTTTCTTGACTCAGCCATCTGAGTGTAACAGAATAAAACATGATTCAGAAAAGAATAAAGGCAATGAAATGACAAAGAGTTAAAATAATCACCACACCAAATAAAGACGTACCTGTTGAGCTTCCATGGCAATAGCTTCATTTTCTTCAGCCAGAGCCTGCACAGTTTCTACTTTTTCTTTCAATGTAAGAACCTCGGAGTAAAGGTTATTCCTCTCTGTAGATACTTTATCCAAGTCATTCTTCAAGGACTCAATGAAATTATTCATTTCTCCCAAGGCATTACCCATTTCAAGGACTTCCTCTTTTAACCTTTCAGTCACTCTTCTTCTCTCTATTAACTCCTCTTCAGTAGAAGTTTTTTCTATTAAAAGATCTTCCACATGAACTTTCAGTTCAAGATTTTGATTTGATAGAAGCTTTAGTGACTCACACTCTTTTGAGATATCTAACTCAAGGGAAGATATCATGTTGATTTTCCCTTGCAAATGACCTTCAAGCATTTGACCATGGGGAACAGCCTCATCAAGCTCGACTGATTTAGCTGCAAGTTCTTCTTCTAATGACTCCAATGCAGCAACCATTTCCTCAAGTTCATCTTAATTTTTGGTCCTTGGCATTGGATGCTGAATCTTGCATCAAGCTAAGATCAAACAGCAGACCTTTCAAAACATCTTCTTTCCTCAGTAACTCATCTTGGAGAGACAAATTTTCAGAGATCAGCTCTTGAGCAAAATGCTCCAAGTGCTCCGACTCTACTATGACCTTAAAGACCCTTTCTTCATTTTCAGATATCTCCTGAAACATTCTATTTAATAATGTCAAAATTTTCTCCTCCAGTACTTCACATATTTTGTTCCCTGCCATGCCCACAACTTTAAATAAATCAACACAGTTCTTAGCATTTAATCTTATCAGAGAGAGAATTTCATCCCTCTTCTGCCCAACAGACATAAGTTCATATTTCAAAGAAGCATTTTCTTCCTTCAAGGCATTTACCTTGTCAATTTGGAACTCTAAATCCTGTCTATTGGATCTAAGTTCCTCCACAGAGACAGACAGAATGCTCAAGCCTCTCCACTTCTGCATTTCTAATCTCCAGATCAGTCTGCAGGCTAGAAATGCATGCTTCCAGGGAAGAAATTCTGTCTTGCAATCTGTGTTTTTCTTGGTCAATTTCAGCGTGCAGCCTGCAAACAGAAGAGTCCAGCAAGCTTGTATCATTCTGCAACTTCTGATTTTGGATTTTAAGGACCGAAATATGATCAGAAGAAGAAATCAAGACTGCTTCCTTTGTGTTCATATCTTCATGAAGTCTTTTCTTTTCAATCTCAAGCATTTGAACCTGTGCCAAAAATCTTTCCTTATCTTTGAGGGCCTCATCAAGCTCACTTTGGCTCAAGCAGGAAACTTCTTTTAATAATTGAATGTCCTGTTCAAGGGCTTTATTCACTTTATCCATCTCTGTGATTTTTAAGCTACTTTGCTTAAAAATGAATGCATAGAAATGAATTGGGTTTCTAATAAAAATGAATGCATAGAATTATTTTTGCCTTGAGAAATACTGCTCATACTAGTTAATAACCCCATACTGAGTGCTGGGAAACTATATGTATGTATTTTGTTTTGAGACTACTATCCAAGAGGTAACTCTTGAAGCATTCAGGCTGAGTTTTTAATTGATTTAGGAGACTAAATTGGGTTTGGTTTGTGATTAAACAGCCCACCTTATCTAGAAGAATCAGATCCACACCAAGGATAAGGGACATCCATTATCGTTACATGTAATTAATCAACAATGAAGACCAAAATCTTGTATTCTAGAACACACCACACTTTGGGACACTCAATAAACATTGATTTAACATATATGTACTTAAAAAATAAAATTTAGAACTTGTATACAAGAAGCCTAAAATGTTAAAATTAAGTTTGACTTTGTATCAAGTTAGGCATTGAAATGTTCACTCATCCACTGTATCTTGTATCAAGAGTTGACTCTTCTGATTGTGGTTCCAAATATTGTTGACAACTAGTGGTCTCCTCTGAGGTTTCTTTATTGCACTCTGATTGATCAGAAAAAACAATTGCAATTGAGAGGATCAATAATGGTCTGGACAATGTCTAGCAAAATTGAACCCAAAAACCATTAGGAAACAGGCCCAACAGCCGCTACATCCAAAGGAAGAAAGTGAATCAAAAAAGACAAAAGAATGAGAAGAAAGGCATAAGATGAAATCCAAAACGCACATGGGACTTATACCATCTGAATTGAGGAACTTCAGCAATTTGCTATAACTAAATGATTAAGCACGACCTACATAACTGCTCAACTTTAGGGAGAAAGAAAAATGCCACCTCATGGTGGTAATATCAGTTATTAGAACTTTCAAGAGCATTTTAGAAGTACAAAATTACATAGGGTAATTGCATTAAACTGTGCATTATGTTCAATCTCAACGTTGCAACCAGTAAGGCTATCAAAGAGCTACACTAGCATCAGCTTGCAGGTGAGACCAAGAGTTCAGCCCAACTTATTAGCTAAATGATCCCTTACAAGTTAGATGGCTTCAGGTCAGTTTATCCTCTACAAGTTTAGGTATTCCACTATTATACTAAGTTAAAATCCAAGTATCAGATGTAATAAACCTCAGTATAACAATTTATCTAAATTGCTTTTATTTTTTAACCCTTTCAATCGGTCTGAGACCCAGGCTTGGATTATGGTCGTGTGCATAACTGAACTGCTGGCCAGAACTTCTAAGCTCAAGAACCTCTGGATGGGTGACTGCACAAGGCTTAAAGCACTTCCATGGCCTTTCTCAACTCAAGGAACTTGCACTACAAGACTGTAAAAAACTTAAATCAATACCAGAGCTTCCATCAAGTCTGGAAAGAATGTATGCAAGTGGTTGCACAGAAATGCAAAAATTACCAAATCTCTCAAACTTATAGAACCTATCACTCCTGATGCTTATGGATTACCATAGGTTAGCTGAGATTGAGGACCAGAAAGGAAGGAACCCATTCAAGAAATTCACATGGATTGGTGCAAAAATTCATATGCCTTTATGCAAAAAGTCAATCACTTTAGAAACAACCAACAAGGAAAATTTGTAGATCATGTTCCCTTACCACCTCTGCTAGAATTTCATTGGTCTTCATAGCAGTGAGCCAGAAATTAGGAACTCCCTTCTCTGCTCGAGTGCATAAGTGAATGATCAGACATGGCAAACAAAAATCTAACATAATTTAAAAACTAATAAAAGCAACCAGATTTGCTCTCATCAGGCACCTTCTGCACCTTTGTCCTCTTCTTGATCTGTTGCAGCTTCGTTTGTAACACCTTCTACTTCAACCACACCATTGACAATGTCATATCTCTGTAACATGACAAAAAATTACAAAATGGCATAAATAGAAAGGCAATGTTATCATTAACACAAGCAACCCAATGGTACTAACCCTGAGCATATTATAAATGAAAATGTTTGTTTGAATGTATCAGCAACCTAGGTCCAAACTGACATGGACAAATGTTCAATCTAAATCCAATGGTCATCTCATACAAGTGATGGAGTGCATAGTGTAATATGACAAATCCCAGTTATGCCTTGTAGTAATAAAACTGTCCGTTTGAAATTCCCTGATCTATTTGGCACATGTTTTTATTGTTCTATTCCCAGGGAGATCCAAAAGCTTAAGAATCTAACTACATTGATTCTTTGGCAGAACCATTTATCTGGGGAGATTCCTCCTGAGCTTGGGAACTGCAGTAGCCTGGAGTTGCTTGCTTTGAATGACAATGCTTTCACTAGAAACTTAAGATATCACTGCACAGCTTGTGATTACTGCATAGCTTGTGATCAGTGACAAAGCTTAAGATCACTGCACAGCTTGTGATCTTAAATATTTCTTCTAACCAACTATCTGGTAGTATCCCTCATGAGTTGGGAAACTGTACAAAGCTCCAGAGGCTTGACCTTAGCATAAACCACTTCACAGGCTACGTACCAGTGGAACTTGGCAATCTAGTGAATATAGAACTGCTGAAGCTATCTGATAACAGAATGAATGGAGGGATACCGGATACTTTAGGAGGTCTGAACCATCTTACAGAATTGCAAATGGGAGGGAATTATTGGTGCAGCAGAGGGTTTATGCTAAGAGTCCTTGTCTGCAAATGCTTGTGGGTACCATGTCATGGGTAGTTTTCCACCTGAGAATAAAAAATGAGTAGACAATTCAGTTCCCAAATTCTAGAAGAGAAAGCTAAGAGTCCTTCTAGGAAACAACAAACCAAATCATGCTTGCTTACTTGGATTGTAATAGCTGAAGATAACATCAGCTAAAGCAGCCCCTCCAGCTTCGCCAGGGTAACCAACCCAGAGAATACTCATAATTTTGTTGTTGGCTTTGGCAAATGAGATATCCATGCCTCCTCCAGACATGATAATAAGAATCACAGGTCACTTGGATACAAGTGTCAATAGTCTGTAGAAGCTAAGCTTAGCTTAATCTCTGTTGTGCTTATATCCAATTAGGGGTGCCAATTGGACTGAATTTGGTCCAATCCGGTGCAGTCCAATGTGAGTCCATTACAAATGGACCTGGTCCAATCCAGTCCAATGAATATTTTGGACCATTTTGGACTGGTCCAGAGACTGTCCTAAGTCCTTGGCAACTAATTGGTTGATCTACCAAAGGAATGACCCAATTCCTCATAGGCTTTACACAATGCATTCTAAGAACTATTAACCATCAAATGTTGTTAATATGTATTGTCTTTCCAGCTTGGTGAAAGCGTAAAATCTCAAACTAACGAAAAGGCAGGTTTGAGTCATGAGATTTGATAATTTACCATCCCTTCCAAGATAACTAGGTCAGCATCACTTGCCAAGTAAGCAAGCTCCTGTGATACTCTTGAAAGATCATTCTTCCCCATTCTACCCCTTCGCATTCTCCTCAGAAGGATCTAGACATGCTAATTAATGCAGCACGTCCATCGATTGCTCCAACTGCATATCTTGTACAGGCACAAGATATGGAACTGAACTGACTCCATAAACAAGTCCTAACTGATTCCCATAGAAGTTCTCCATCAAGCCTTCTTTTTCTAATAACCAGCATAATATATGGTATTCAAAGGAAATAAGCACTTTACCAATCAAAATAAAAGGTGGAAGTGTGAACAAAATCATTTAATGTAAAAAAATGATTTATTATAAGCATCTTAAATAAATTATTCAATAAAAAAATCCAATTGTCCTCTTGCAAGACAAGGGGTGATTCAAAAGATAACGAGTGATGCAAAGACATCCCATGCTCCCAATGTAAATCTGCTTAACAAATTGTTTCAATCTGCAATAGAAAAAGGATAGATATTAGAATTAATGTTGAAAATTTTAATCATAAGGATACAAATGATAAAACAAAGAATCTTACAAATCCATAAAACCAAGCAATTGGTACACCAACAGCACTTCCAATTGTTCTGTAACGTCCATGTGGACGTACTAGAGGTGCATCATTAATGATAGGAATGTCAATCACAACCTCAACCCATCCTGGACCAAGTCGGATACCACCTACAGTTTTTGATGGGTTGGTACTTATAATAGTTGCTTCTGCTACAAAGGCAAACATCCTTGATGGCTAGTCAACAAATAGCATTTCGTGTTTTCCTACAAATGCAATTAAATCATTTACAAATGTCTTTGTATTATTTAAAAATAAATGTTTGAAATAAAAAGTAACACTTACAGTTAAATTCTGTAAATCATTGTTATGGTTGGCACTAAATTGATGGTAAAAGGGGCTTTGAAAAGCATGAACTGAAGAGTGGTTTGGAAGCTGAGATGATTCCCCTTGGGAGACCTTATTTATAAATGATGAGCACAAAGATCAATTTAGTCCATAATAAAATTTAGTATTATATATATATATATATATATATATACTCAAGCTCATTGTTTGCACATCATTCCTCTGTCGGGGGCCATTGAACCTAGTTGGGGTTGGACCCAACCCTAGTCCACGCACTTGACCATGACGCTCTAGACCCATGACACGAGCATATATGTCATTCAGTCCATTATCCTCTACCTGATCTTCTGGATCTTGTGACATATAATTTTGCATTTGTTCCTTAAGTAGAACACAAATATTGAATGCATTAGAAGACCATATGTTAATATGTTATTAATAATAATGGTTTAACATGTCATTAATAAATTTTAAGGTTTTATATTTAAAATATGGTTACCGTTATATCAGAAGATTGTGGATCAATAGGTGCCCCATCTTTCTTCCTATGAGTCACAATAAATACCTCTGTACGCAATATTTCTTTATTCCTTTTCTTTCGTTGTTATAAAAAAAAATTATATATATTTCCATTCTTAACACATAAAAGATTTACTAACAACAAAATCAGTAAATCAAATAACATGATTACCAATTCTTCCCAAATCCTTGCATAACTCTTTGCACCAGCAGTGTGCTTTAATCTTTGCTTGGAGCGATTAGCTTTATTGATTGTAGCTCGTGCCTATAATCATATACAATTATGTTAGATATTCAATTCATTCAATATGGAGCCTGTTTTAGAATATCTATCACACTTACAATCCCCTTCTCAGACTTCCAAAATTTAACCAAGTTCTTCCATTGCTCTGGATCAACCCCCGTTTGCCAATTTGTATTGATCTGCAATATCTGGATTTGGCTCAAATTACTTGGTCTTCAAATCACATTTCCAATCTTTCCACTTCTTACCCAAGGACTTCATAGAAAAGTCTTTCAACCGCTCATCAACATCAAATTTTTTTCTAAAACCAAAATAAAACACCAATCAATATGTCTACACAAGATAAATCATAATATTAAATGCAAAATGTATTGATTACCTCAATTATGTCCCATATGTCATTCTTTAATTCATCGGGGACTTTTCTCTAGTCTACAAAGTCTATGGGCAATTTATATGGCATTCGTGCAATAGAACCCAAAAACTTAATCAATTGCTTTGCTCTTTGACCACTTGGTTGCATCATCCTCACTCTCATGTCTTGGTATAGTGGTTGATTGGGGTATTGGCTGGCTTGCTTGTGAACCTTTCTCTTCTAGTTAGCCAACGCAAACTCATTTTCACCTATTTTCAAAATGGTTAGTTTATACTTATTTTAATTTATTAAAATTAAAAAAGAAAGAAATATAAAGTTGACCACCAGTGACTCAAGAGAAAAAGAAACAAAAATATGCACAAAGATTAAAAAAAAAAACCATTAACCAACCATGCACAAAGTTAAAATAACGGAATACTTGGAATTTGTAAGGCATTATACAACCTAAAATAATATTTAATTGTTCTCTAGTGATACAATAAAATTCACATTGACTCTAACTTTAGTCAAAATCATCTTCATCATTTTCTTCAAAATTAATGGCATCACTGTCAATGTCCCCATCATTATTGTTAGCATCATCAGATTCAATATAATCGTCATCTTCTTCACCCACTCCAACTGATTGTATGGAATCATAAGCTTGCTCAAGCTCTATACCGGGTGCATCTGTTCTATCCCAACTAACATCATCACCACTTAATGAGATATTGTTTGCCAAGTTTTACACATTGTGAGGCTCTTCTAAAGTTTCACCATCAGCTTCATTTGCATCATCATCCCCACGCATATCATATAAGTCTCTAGATTTTGTCTTGACAACAACATGCCAATTTGAGTTAATGGGATCTTGGACATAGAATACTTGTTCCGCTTGAGAGGCTAAAACAAATGGTTCATCTGTACGCAACAAGTGATTGAAGTTGACAAGGGTAAATCCAAATTCGTCAACCTTCATCCCCTTATCTTGAGCAACATCAACCCAGTCACACTTGAATAGCATTACTTTCAAATGCTCATAATAATTCAATTCTATGATATCGGTGAGCACACCATAATATGCAATGCCACCTAAAACTGGGTTTTTATTTCACGTACTAGAAAATCTATTTGTTTTTGTAGTTACAACATTGCCACTATTTTGGGTTTTTCTATTGGCTTTATGTTCCTTTGTATGAAACCTAAACCCATTTATGCTAACTCCTTTATATCTCTTTGTAGCTATGCATGGGCCACTGGCCAACCAATTCAAACTGTTCAAAATTTATTCCTTTCCCTCAATATGCAGTGCCATTATCTATATAAAATTTAAAGGATATCTTATTAGAAACATGATAGTTGATTAACATCAAATATTTCCCAAAAGGAAACTTAAAGTATGCATTACTAACATGGTTCATAAACCAATTAAGAAACTCCTTATTGTGTATTCTCTACACAACATATGGCCATGATCTAGGGTTCTCTCCACGAATCTTTTCAAGGTGTTCCCTACAATTGCATAGAATTGTAAACATGAGCCGTGGTTATAATGGAGAATTATTCATCAGAAACCTCAAACATACAGCAACCTAGTAAACTTACTCAATATATGGGCCAATAGCATCACAATTGCTTAATACATACAGGTGTGCTTTCATCAGTGTTTCCTTGTCTAGTTGAACATTAGAGGGACTTCCAATGCCATGGCATATGCTTGAGAAAATTTCAAATCCTTCGTCGAGTTCATGAAGCCCATCCCCTTTATTTCTTATTGGCCTATTTAGACTAGTTTCAACACCTTGGAGGTATCTAGAACAGAAGGTCATGCACTCATCCACTATGTACCCCTCGGCTATACATCCTTTTGGTCTACTTTTATTTTGTACATATGACTTCAGCGTACGAAGATACCTATCCATGAAAAATAGAATGAGTGGAAATGGTTTAATCAATAGATTAATAAAATAGAAAATGTTCAAAATTGAATATAATTGGCATACCTCTCTATTGAGTACATCCAATGATATTGAAGTAGCCCAACTAGCCTAGCCTCTTCTGCTAGGTGGATGGGCAAATGTACCATAATGTCAAAAAATGAAAGTGGAAAAATCATCTCTAACTGACAAAGTACTATTGCAATATTGGATTCTAGACTAGCAAAGCCATAACCCGTCGCAACCGTTGAACATAAGTCCCTAAAGAACATGCATAATTCAACCAAAACAGAACTCACATTCTTCAGTAACACCCTCCGTATGGCTATGGGAAGCAATTGTTGCATTAGTATATGGCAATCATGACTCTTCAGCCCCTTAAGCTTGTAATTATTATTCACTTGCACTAAGCATGAAATGTTGGATGCATACCCATCTGGAACTTTCACATTACCAAGCACTTGACAAAAAATATTCTCATTTTTATTCATTGTGTAACATGCTGCAGGTAGATAGGTTCCATCAGGCCGAGAACCAGGCTTAGGGTGAAGTTCTTCTCTGATGCCCATATGTTGTAAGTCCTGACGCGTTTTAAGTTGCCTTTTGTCTTCCCTTCAATGTTCAATAGTGTCCCCAATAAACTATCACATATATTCTTTTCTATGTGCATCATGTCCAAATTGTGTCACAACAGATCTTCTCAATAAGGCAAATTAAAAATATACTTATTTCTTCCAATTGTGCTTATCACCATTATGATTATCATTATTAGAGTTCTCCCCACGTTCTCTTTCTTCCACCGTTGGATTCATTTCCCTTCCCAAGTGTGTACTCTAATCCTTGCACATCATCCATCACTTGCTTCCCTGTTAATCTTATAGGTGCTAATCTCCACTCCTCATTACCATCAAATGATGATTTATCATGTCAAGACCTATGATTTCCATCTAAGAATCTATGATGACCCATATAATAGAACTTGTGTCAATTCTTCAACTTTAGTGAACAAGTATCCTTTTGACACACAAGGCATGCCAATTTACCTTTGCTAGACCACCCTAACAAATTAGCATAAGCAGGGAAGTCGTTGATTGTCCACATGACAGCTGCACGCAATAAAAATAACTCTTTCTTTGATGCATCATATGTTAGTACACCATTTTCCCATAAATCAATGAGGTCTTCCATCAATTGCTACAAGTATATATCAATATCATTACCTGGTGCACCCGGTCCAGGAATCAATAAAGACAACATCATATATGGTTGCTTCATGCACATCCAAAGGGGTAGATTATAAATGACAAGAACAACAGGCCAAATGCTATAAGAACTAGACATTATTCCAAATGGACAAAAACCATCACTTGCCAACCCAAATCTTACATTACACGGATCTGATGCAAATGATGGGTGTTTTCTGTCAAAAGTTTTCTAAGCTAGAGAATCAGCGGGATGCCTTAATACCCCATCTTTCTTACATCCTTCTTCATGCCATCTCATGGATGAAGCAGTTTTGGATGACATAAATAACCTTTGTAGCCTTGGTCGCAAAGGTAAATAGCGTAAAACCTTGGTTGGAATCTTTCCCTTATGTTTAGATGAAGATACCTCATTGCCATTATTTGTGTTGTAAGAAGGATCCCATCGACAAGTACCACAAGCCTTACAAGTGTCTCTATGCTCATCTTCCTTCCAATATAACATGCAATCATTAGGGCACACATGAATCTTACTATAGTCAAAACCCAATTGCCTCATGATCTTCCTTGTTTCATAGTACAAACTTGGCAACACCTCACCTTCTAGTAAAGCCTCTTTCAATAGCTTAAGTAACATGGTAAACGATTTGTCAGACCACCC